TCTCACTACTTAGCAAATGTTTAACTTTGAATTTTACATGTAAACTACTCGAGCCGGCATTTGGTTCAAAATTGAGGTTGTTGTCCCATTGAGCTGATTATGTGATTTTGATTGCAGCTGCTAGGATAAGAGAGATACTGTAGAGTGTGGGATTGGCCCAAGAGAGTTTACCATCTAATGTGGTTTCATCTGCACATGTTCTTGCCAAGGTTGCAAAGTTGTTGGATGTTAGAGATACTGAATTAAGTAGGTAGGTCACCTTTTTTTAGTTCTCACCCCCTTTAGTTTCGTTGTCTTACTAGGAGAAACATTGTAGTTTTCTTGTTGCAGTGGCAGATCTTTCTCTACGGAAAACAGCAGTTGAAGAGAAGAGAGGTAAAGTGCAGCAGGAATCAAAACAGCAGTATGGTTATTATAAGGTAACTTTACTTTTGTCTTAAATAATTTGCTGCAAATTTATGGATTTCATTTTCTTTTCCCAGTTAAAAGTCAAGATGCTGTTACAATATTTAATTATGTATGGGCGGTTATGAGACATCGTTTTATGTAGTATATCCTACAAATGTGGGCTTCAAGTTTATTAGTTTTCATGACGTGCCCTATTTTAACATTCAGCTAGTTTCCATGGAATATGTATGTATATACGTGCTCATGTTCATGTATATGTGTATGAATTTCACATCTCTGAGTTGCCTTTACTTTTGTGAAGAAGAAAGCTTGTTGCAAAAGTCTTTATAGTATAGAGAAGATTCAATATCCTCAAGATGATAGTCTGCAACTTTTTGAGTGAGTGTTTTATTTTATTTCTCTTCCTCTGTGCCAAAAGAGATGGGAGATTTGTTAGTACCAATTTTGTAAAGATGAAAAAGTCGCCCTGCAGTGTCTCTCTTCACGTTTAATGCTAAATGGATGATCTTGTGCAAGGTAAACAGTCATGAGTTGGCTGGATATGAGATTGATGAAGGCCTCCAGAGAGCTCTGCTATCTGTAAATATCTAATCCTCCTTTTCTCCCTACTAGTGGACGAAAGGTGAGCTAAATAGTGGTTTAATCATTGTAAGTTGTCGCAAACCTCGAGTCAGAAGGCACAAGGCAGCACCTCTAGGACCAGATGTGCGATGACTGGTAAGGGCTTATAGTAAGGTCACCTCTGGAGGCCTGGTTAAAGCATGCACATATACGATGACTGGATGAGTCAGAAGGCAACACCTCTAGGACCAGATAAATTGCTTAGCAGGCCCAAATTATCGTTTTATGAAGCAGTAACTTATCTATATAATCTGTCATAAAAGCTACTTCTGCTGTGAAACATATTTTATTTGATGATCTACCCTTCAGCAGGCAATTTCTTCTGAAAAGATTGGAAACTTTGTGATCTGAATGTATTACTTGCACCTGATCATAAATCTGTATTTTCGTATACCTGAAACCGTGAAGTGGATGTTAAAAGGTCTTTGGATGCAGGCTGTACTTAATCGTGTTGGTTACACCCCAGAGATAAGTCACGGGGTATTGGTTGAGATGGCAGAGCATAAGAAAGACTTGGAGAAGAAAACAAAACCAATTCTTGATACTCTGAGAAGCTACCAAGACTTGCCTCCTGTAACTATTTCTAAACATGACTAGAGTTCCATTGTTCTGCTCTCTTAAATTATATATGTTGTTGACTTTTTGAGACTTCCATTTGCAGGATAAAGCCTTGGCGGCATTGGCAATTGAGGACAAGAAAAGGCAGTATGCTGCTGCTGAGAAGTATCTTGAAGATGTGTTGCAGTCTGCTCTTGCCTCCTCAGAGTGACGTAGAATTCTTTTCTTCGAACATCTATTTTGCCTTCACTTCAGCTCGTAGTGCCTCGCCTGTCAAACATTTGGGAAATGAGATTGGGATTGATTTTCTTTCGACTCTTGTTCTATTTTATCTTTCACTTTTTGTATGTGCCATGATGGTGTATTCTCAACACTGCAAAAAACTCTTGAAATGGACTCATAATGATTTGTGTAATTTGAATAGGAAAAAGTTGTTGGTAAAGCCTGTTTCCTTTGTAGAGAGATTTGTTTTCTCCTTCAAATTCCAATCTTTTTACTTCTTTGAGAGCCTGAGAGAGGTGACACTTTTAGTTATCTTTAACACACCCCTCATGTTGCCTGATAAGGCTATGATCAACTTATACTTAATTATGTTTTCAACACGCCACCTGATAATAATATGTTGAAGTGTATGACCATCTCATCTAAAAGCTTAAGCCGTTAGAGAAAATACACTTTTATTTACGTAAAGTTCTGTCTTCAACAAATGTGATAAAAGGAGGAACATTTCTCATATGTGTCTAGGGGTTGGCAAGTTATCTTTTATTTTCAATGTGTGGAAGACATCTTTTGGATATGAAACTAACGTAAAGGATTAATGCATTGACAGTGGAATCTGAATCATATCCTGATGGTTCACCTGGAGATTTTGATAAAAAAAGACTCGAAACGTGCCCTGGATATAAGAAAATTAGTAGTCTAAGTCTTCCGAGGACATGACCTTAGATAGAGGTTGTGGAGAACACAGATTAGCATAGAAGGATAGTAGATAGTTTAGCGTTATCTCGCTTATATCCTTCCGTACTAGTACTAGTTTTTAGTATTTCTCTTGTAGCTTCTTGTCCTTAATTAATTAGGTTTACTTTCTATTATCTCTTGTATGTCAATTATCACACTATTTTATTGTAGCTTTTTTCTTTGTCATGCTCTCTATAGTATCTTCAAACTGCTTTACTCAACACGGGGGTCTTTCAGAAACAACTCTCTATCTCTACAGGTAGTGATAATGTCTACGTACCTCTACAGATCCCACACGTGAGATTATACTGAGTATTAGAAAAGCTGTATTTTCCCTTTCTTCATTGCTCTTCTTTGTAATCATTGAATGTAGATAGTTAGATAACAAATTCATGAAAACTTATATGCAAAATAATTCACCAATGCTTCCTTTACACGTTAGTATGTTTTGTCGGTTAAAAGAGTATTTAAAAAAAGGGGAACAAGAGACAAAAAAGAGGATATATTTTGCAAAGATGAATCCAGAATAAATTATTATATCAATAATAGCCATTATTTGTGCAGTCACACTCAATGTTGCATTCATGCAAGACAAGCCAATCAAATTTTTCATAGCCAAATCATATTGTGATTAGAAAATTCTTCTTTAGAAAAGGGTGGGGGTGGGGTGAGAGCTCACCCCTTTCATTAGTTAGAATAAAAAAATGGCTATATTATAAGCAACCCCCCCCCCCACCCCCCACCCCCACTCACACAATTCACAAGAAATCAAAAAACATCATATTCTTGAAAATGTTTGTGAAAATGCCTTGATTACATTGAGAATAAAATTTTCGCTATTGATCGATTGATGATAAGGATTTGTGAAGTAGAAATTCGAAAAAATCTTAATAAATAGTTTCAAAATACTCTTTTACAATAGTAGTGTCACATTCCCTTTAAGGAGCTACAAAGTCATTATTCAGACAAATGGATTATCTACTTAGAAGGTGAAAGTTCAAATCGAACAATATTAATTTCTTTATGAATAGTTGTAATTTGACTTCTTAACAGACTCGTTAGCTTCTCAACTAGATCGTGATTAGGAGAAAGTTTCATAATTTGAGAGTACAGTTATTTTTCTTATCACCAGTTTAAAAGAAGGAATTGCTCAACAAGCTATCACTACATTTCGAATCTCTATAATTTTGTCTCGAGAATAAATAAAGTTCCATAACTCGAACATCAACCTGTTACAAAACTTTAGTCTTTGATGGATCCAAAAAGCTTTAAAATTTTCATTGTTTAATCAGTTATTTCCTATTAAATTTATTTTTTGAAACTTCTAAATTAAAAGGCATAAATGCACACACCAAAAAAAGACATGTACTTTTCTTTCAATATATTTTGTGTCTATATATTAAATGCTATGAATTCAATTATATAATATTTAATTTGGGACATAAACTGCAAGATGGAAATCAGGCGGTAGGATGTGGAGACAAGAAAATTATTGGTTGCAGAAAATAGTCCATGACATAAATATTTAAAAAATAATTAATTTATTTAATATAAACATTCAAAATAATTAATTTAATATAAAACTAAAAGAGTTGACAGGACATTAATTGGTGGAAAATTTGGCCTGCGTCCCTTGATTATGATCAAACGCAAATTAAAAACTTAGATTCTTTTTGTCTATTAGTTTAATTTCAATTCCACCGCTAAACGCCCATAGTATTATGAGATTAAATTTATCTTATGTTTTGATTGGACGAGCCTATATATATATATATATTAACAGATAATATAGTATATTATTTTTATATCAAAATCTTGATATAACTTAATCCTATATAGAATATAGAATAAGTTATCTAGGTTATAAATTCTAATTTAATCTCCCCATTGTAATATTAGATTATCCCCGTTTTAATCAAGCCAAATAACCATTAATTAAAGAGAACACAACTTTGTTTAATTTCTTTGCCCTAATTTATATAGCACGATTGAAATTGCAAGATTCAAACTTTTAAATTTTGATCATGAATTCAAACACAAAAAGTATAATATCTTGCTAACTTCGTGAGACTCTGTACGCAAATAAGTTAGGGGAAAACGCACACTAAGATTCTAAATCATATGTTAAAATCGATTCATAAACAAGATGTTTATAAGAGAAATTTGATTATGGAATAGAATAGAAGGATTCATAAAATTCAAAACTTGAGAAGGATATTGCCACATAAATAAAGACGAAGAGAGTATTTAATTATTGTCATCCAACACATAGATTAGATGGTAAAAAATAAAAAAAAATGAAAGATAGAGAAGAAACATAGTACTAATGAAAAATCGAGTAATTAATAATATCCCATGAGATTTCTTGACCATCATATATTATACTTTAATTTATCATTCCCATTTTTGTTTCATAATGATCATAGACAATTTTGTTATCTATATAGTAAAAGAGAAATTAGATAGATAAGCAAAAGATAGAAAATACTCATCATGAATATGGACGATACATCGACGATGGGTCGAATCCACTATGCCTATTTTGTTTATTGTGACTATTATCATGATCATCCTCGTTTGTCATTCTGTTGCACCCCATCTGTTGTGAAATCGAAGTACCAGCACCTAGATTCAAATACACCATCCTCGAGTCTAGATTGAGGTTATTACCTCCCACATTGGTCGCGCTAGAACCATGATCTTCGTTGTTTATAGGTTGGAATATCGCGGTGGAAGATGGAACGTTGTTTGTATTTTCTTCCTCTCGAGAAATTACCATCGCGGCCGATTGAACTAGCTCGAGGCAAAGTCTTAATTTGTTAGGTTCAATGTGATTGAGCCCCGGGACAGCACCTTTGAATAGGAAATCGGAAGTTAGGGTTCGTAGAATATCGAGTGGAGTGATCCCATCCATCGTTCTAACATTTGGATCCGCGTGGTGGTCTAGTAGGACTGCCACCATGTCGGGTGACACCATTTCAGATGCAATGTGGAGGGGGGTTTTGCCAGCTGGACCGGCCGGGTGGTTCACGTTGGCTGCACCGAGCTCAAGTAATGCTTTCACAACCTCCCGGCTACAATTCTCGACCGCATAATGTAACGCGATCGATTCATCGAGATTTAGTCCTTCTCCCATTACCATAAGTTTGACTAATTCAACGTCGGATGAGTCAAGGGCTCGTCTCATTCGTCGAATTTTTTGGTCCTCGAGCTCTGAGGCCGAACTTAGGTCGTGCTGGTGCTGGTGATGGTGAGAGATCAAGGATCTTCTCGCTAACGAAGTTTTAAGGCGAATTTCCTCGATTTTCGCGACAACATCAATAGGAAGGTGTTTCGCTAAGATTTCAGGTGGAAGACCTGATTTTGCAACCAAATGGGAACAAGTAGTCCAAAGTTGAGGCATGTCTTGTTTTCTTGAAGCAATTAAAACTTTCATCACATCCTCAATTGAAGTTTTTTCGACCATGCTTGTCAATTGCTTCTGCAGAATCAAACACAATAACTACGTCTCAATCTCAAACAAATCAAACAAAATTTTAAAAAAAAAACACAAATGTCACTAATGTGATTATTTGACATATTTAGAAAGTAATGTTTCTTATCAAAGACCATCAAACAATTGAGTTTTTTATGCAAAATCTTGATTATATGTAGGGTAACACCAAATAATTCCATTTTTTAATATTGGTTCATGAAACCAAATTAGGAAAGTAGATTTGATTGGGGGTAAATAAATCACTATTGAAAGGCATGACCACTGCAAAAATCAAGAACCAAATTTAGAAAAAACATATAGACAAGAGGAACATTTCAAGAAACTCAAAATCTTTTACATGAAATCAAATAAACATCTAATGAAATGACACAACTAAGAACAAAATTCCACTGTATATTTTCTCGAACGCTTCAAAAATATTGCCGCGCATGTATTAAATCCTCTAAAACCATGTTAAATTCAAAGGATCCATATTTGTTCAACAATATTTTCGAAGAATCAGAACAACACAACAGTAAATCCGATAAAGTTAAAATAAACCTGAGTAAGCAAAGCAAGTTGTTCAACTCCAAAAGATCTAGCGGCTGAGAGTATATCAAGTGCAAGATCAACGGCTGATGTGCAATGTGTATGCCAACAGCTTCTCTCTCCACAATTAGGCCTTGGTTCATGTTTTTGTGGCACAATTGAAACTTGTCCACTATACAAAAATTGCAACATCAACAAAAACACCTCATATCCTACTGAGTTCACAGGTATTACTACCTGTGAACTACTGGTAGTACTAGTCCGCGGGCTTCCAAAGCCCGCGGAAGGGTCTGAGCCGCCACCAGGCGACTCAGGCCCGCAGAAGAATTTTCTGAACACAAGACTCCTAGCTGCTAAGATACATCTATGAGCATGTACTAAACGGCCTTCAACACTAAAAGTAACATCACTAAAAGCTTGACCATTGATGAGGAGATTTAGATAATCTAAAGAGAGAGTTTTTAAGGAATCTTCAAGAGTATTACTCATATTGTTATAAATTGTATAGATGAGGAAAAAAAAAGGTAGAGAGGAAAAAAAATAAATTTGGTGGATTTTAATTCACATAGTGGAAGATGATTTTGTGTTAGTTGTTTTTTTTTTCTAGTATAAGATGATGAAAGAAGTAGGCTATTATTATTGTTATTTCTTGTGAGATTCTCTCTTTAGTGATGTAGTTTCTGTTTTGCTATGTGGATAGATATTTTTTTTGTGAGAGGGTGGGTGGGTGGCTATTATGGACGGCTGAGGTATTAAAAATAATAATAATTAAAAAAATATATGGATTTTTAAAATTTGTTTATTTACTTTATCTGTTTTGAAATGTTAAGACTTTACACTCTAAATCATCCTCATAATTTTAGATGTGGACGTGCCTAAGTTAGTAATCTTTTTTTCACTTTCTGACTGTAGTAGTTTGTTGAAATGTGTTGAGACTTTATGCTCTAACTTATATTCATAATTCTAGCAAGGTGTGGACGTGCCTAAGATATCAATCTTTTTTCACTTTTTGATTGTAGTAGGGATTCATATAGAATCGTTAAGTGTCATGAGAAGGATAGATATTGTACTTATCATTCATGTTTTTTACCTCTTAATAAAGATTTTAATTCCGCTACTATCAAAATGGTATATTGTTTAGAAATTAGTTAAAATTTAAGTGAAAATTAACTAATGGTTAACTAAGTACTCCTTAATGAAAAGTTTGACTCTAACAACATCGATAGTATCTGATACAAATTTGAATTAGTCAATTTAGTAAATTAATGTGGGAGGGTAGGATAGGGAGATGGTCAATTTATGCCTAATTAAACATGCATATCTTTCTTGGGAAAGTATTTAATTTAGTGATCTTGTGAATTAAAGGTTCTTGGAAAATGTAGTATAATTTAATTAAATTTACTTACTGTTAGCCTATCTAGCTACTAAGTTTTTCTTGCATTAATTAATATTAATAGGTGCTATAAGCCTATAATTTTATGTGTAATTTTTCTTTCTTTTTCCTTTTGTCTACTTGTAATTAGTTGTATGTAGACTCGTCCGGATTCAAGGACAGATGAACGGTTATAATATCAAGTTCATTTAAATTTAAATTTGTGATATAAAATATAAATTTATATTAAAAGGTTAAATAGTACTATAGGTATGAATTCATAATATTATATATATATATATATGTTATACGGTACAATGTCATTATTCTCGTTTGCTCCTGCACTCTTTGAAGAAGAGCGAACAGTTAAAAACCTGATTTATGAACTTATTTTTGTTTCATTTTTTTAATCTATAAAAAATGAATGATTTCTTTTGATATTTACAAATAAATTTAACTTTAAATTTTTTATTTCATCTTTATTAACGACATGATTTTATATTAATATAAGTGTCATTATTTTTAAACGAACTAAAAAAAATAAAAATAAATTAAAACAGAAAAAATAATACTTACTATATTTTACCTTTGTTCACACCCTAAAAAAATTAGTAGTAACTCATAAAATGATGAAACTTAGGACCCGTTTGGCCATGCGATGTAGTATCAGGATATGGAATCATGAGATGAAATTGAAGTTTTGTTTGGACATGCGATATGAAATTTTTGTGTTGTATATTTTCTCATAAACATAAAAATCACATAAGTTGTAAAACTATTAAAATAGCCCCAATTGGTTATTCAATATTATCAAATAAACAAAAAATTATAAAACCGCATAATAAATTATTACAAAGCTATTTGTTCTCCACTTAAGTAATTGTTCCATCTAACTTTAATTTAATAATAAAAAAAATGAACATAAATTGTAGGGTACTAGTCTTTAATATAATCCTCTCACATAGTACGGACAATTTCCTCAAGTTGAACTTGCATTTCTCGATCATGTGACCGAGAAGACGAACCAACATTGTTACTTTGAGCCATTTGTTGGTCAATATCATCCGCAACTATATTTTCATGCTCATAGATTATAAATATTTCATCACTTTAACAATCAGTTGGTGTGAGTTAAAGTGACTATATGTTGGTGAGAATAATAAATTTTATGTCGGTGAGAATAATAAATTTTAAAAGTAATGATGTGATTATAAATTTTATTTACATATGAAATAAATGGTTAGTAGATATACATATGGGGTTGTTTTAACAAAATATAAACTGGTGGATCAATTTTTGTATTAAAATATTTCAAATCATGATATGAAATTACCATATAATTTCATATCATTATTTTTGAAGAATATGAAATCACATCTCATGAGATGGAATCAGCGTAAAATCGTATGTCCAAACGTTGATTCCATCTCACGATACCATATCGTAATATGATATCACATGGCCAAACACCTACTTATTGTTCAAAGCGACTAAATTACATCAAGTGCTTAAATAATGTTTACTACTACTACACACAATTTTATTTAATAACCACTATATCATAGTAGCTTTGGATAAGTTGGCACTTCCAAATCAAACCTTCCTGAATAAAAGGATCGGCGGAATCAGAATTTTTATTTTATAAATTTTGATTAATATCTACATATATTTAACAATTAACAAAACCTATTTTGTATTCGAATATCATTTGATGACAAAAGGTTATTAAGATCGGTTGATTCATATTCACGATTTGCACTCAACATAGAACTTTTTTTCTCATCTGTGTTTGATATATATATATTGAAGTTTGACTAAATTCAAATTTACATCAAAAAAATCTCACATTAAAATGTAAAATGCTTTCTAATAAAAGCAATTTTGTACCTAAGAACACTTGAATCTAAAATCTCGAAAAAGATGAAAAAAATATATTGTATAAATTGTTTAGGGCAATGAATAGAGGGAAAATAAGAGAAATAAAAACAAAAGGGAAGAAATGGAAGGGCAGTGATTGACAACATATCACATACTGTCTAATGATTTGACATCCTCCGATTTGACGTTTGAATTGTCATTTCATCACACATCTCCCCTCTTCGTTCGAAATGGCGGAACTAGAAATTTTATTAAACGTATTAAATATTTTAAAACTATATATTTCTAAAATGTTGTAATAATTTATAAATCAACATAATATAATATTAACATGAGATTTCGTATTCGAGTTTTGAATAGAAAGTGAGATACCTTTAAAAGTAAGAACAGATTCAAAAGGTTGATTAAGGATTCACTTAAACATGAATTCTATGATTTTTGTTCAAACTTCATATATTTATAATAAATTGTTAATTAAAATTCCAATTATACTTGTGACATTAATATTAAGGTCACTATAAGAAGTTATAAACTTTAAATTCTAAATTGTATCTATTCAAAAGTGAAATTTTTAAAAAAGAATTCAATTTAATCAAACTCCAAAAAATATTAACCATCGGGTGAATTTCATTTTAAGTTCAGTTTATTAGATAGCTATATCATTAGCGAAAGTTCAATTTTCCTATCTTATCTCTTATCTCGCGATAAAAGAACAAACTTTTATTAAAGCATATAATGGTACAAATCATGTCATGTAAAGATATAATCTAGAAACTAATTTTAAATAGTTTTGCCGGATCAAGAAGCATTTTTTTCTTTATGACATCGCTTCACATAATGTGTTGTTAACTTTGTACGATTCTTTTTACAAACATACTAAAAAGAAAAATATATCGTATAAAATGGAAGAGTAATTAAGATATAATAAAATTTATATTTGTTTCTCAACCTTTAGAATTTGGAGAAGACACATTGTATTTCCTAGTTAGAAAGGGTCGGCCAATTTTGACTTGGCTAATTGACACTATAGAGTATAGACCAAAAATCTGACAAATTAAATTAGGGTTTGACAAAACAAGTCATCAACTACCCCTTCACATTAAATTTTTCTATTTTTATCTTAAATTTTAATAATTTCTTCGTTTCAATTAAGATATCTTTTTTTTTTAGTTTATCTTAAAAGTTTGTTAGAAAAATTATATTATGCATATAAGACAATATTGTGTATATATAGATCAAAATAACTTTTTAGAGGCGTATTACAAAAATTTTGAATATTTTTAGTGAAATTTCTAATCACGACTAGAGAGCAACTCACTTTGCATATATATATTTTTTTCATTATGCAATAATTAATTTGATATACATTAAATTCTAGTTAATTGTTTCAAATTTTTTTCATTGTATGTATCACAAATTCTAGCTGAGGTTGATCAAGTAAGAAATAAAAGATGCCAAGTGCCCAACATGTGTTGTGACTTGTGATACAGTGGTGGAACTGTTCGATCCTTAATCAGAGCTTTGATTTTGAGCTTTGGGTATAGAGGAAATTTTATTGGGAGCACAACCCCTAAATGAGCCTTAAATCAGTGCGCAATCCGAATTTACTCAGAGCTCCAATGAAGACTCCAAACATCGAGTGAATTTTTTTTTTTTTAAAAATGACAAGTGGTAAACCAAGTGGGACAGGAATCAATTAATTTTTATATTCAAGTTATTATTATCTTCAACTATACAAAAAGATTAAGTATTTTTTTGGATTCATCTTTGACTCGAACAGAATTTCCTAATAGGGAAAAAGAAGTGGTAAAAATATTTACTGTTATTTTCATGATCTTTTACTACGTGACATTTAAAGAATATAATGATTACAACTTAAAAATAATGATTCCAAAGATTCCTAAAATTGATTTTAATTCTAGAGACTTAAACTAGCTTGTGAGTAATTTTATACAATTTATATTGGCTTTATGAGTAATTATATGATAAAAATGTACTTTAGATTTAATTAATGAGAAATAAGTTTTGAGAAGAGCCATAAAAAGTAATGAAAATGGGGACAATAAAGATATTTAAAGTGGGCTAGGCACTGATTAATTTTCTTGAAATAAATCTGGAATATTAAGTATAAATATTTTTTAAATGATCAAAGTTTAACTTACGATAGAATGTTAATTATTATTGAATGTGTAAATAAAGAATTATATTGATTGTTGAAAAGATTGCAAAATACATACACGATGTAGAATTATATTTATATGATGTGAGATTTTTTGGGGGAAAATCAAATTCTATGATGAAGCGGACAATATCATACGATCATGTCAAGAGTGTTTTTTATCTAATTTAATTCAACAATTGTATGAAATCGCGTGATTCAACTAGAAGAATATGGACATACTGATATGAGAGT